GATTTCTCGCTATTCTAGTAGTAGTATTTAAAGCAGAGTTTCTTACCTATTGCTATTTGCTTCTATCCATATATGTGGATTCATTTTTGTTATCTGTGTTTTCCTCTTACAATATGCCTTAACAGACTTGTACTGTGTGGTTCTTGGTAGAATTTGACGCAGTTTTTTGTTGCTGGTCCGTTGTTATACGATACTCTTTCAGGAAAGCTTAGGTTATAGGTTGACTGGATCTGAGGGTGACATCGGATCGTGGGGTCACGAGTATGTCAGGAATCTGGCTGGAGAGATTGCAGAAGAGTATACGATGCGACAGGTTAGGAATCATCTGGTCTTTGGCAATGTTGTTCTGCTCAAGGATTTTTGCTTATATTCTAGTATGGTCAAAGATAGTTATGTTTGGGTTTTCTCTGCTGGTGTTCGTGAATGAATATTTAAAAATGTGCTTTCTATTTTATTTAGAAATGTTCTGAAATATAGTTATGTATGCTCGTTTTTTTTTGTTATATCAGGGTGATGAATCTTCTATTGAGGACATAATGGAGCTTGTTAAGCAAATTGTTGCTTTTCACATGAAGGTGAGGTCCATGTCATGCTTACTTTTCTTGGTTCTATGGCCCCTTGTAATAGGAAAGGGTTCCACTTTTATCTAAATTAACAAAAATTTCATTTATATGCTTGAGAATTGCACCTCTTGTTTTTGTCCTATCTCTGAAGGATTCCATTTTGTTCCTTGTAGCATAATGCAGAAACCGAAGCTGTTGATCTTTTAATGGATGTTGAGGATCTTGATCTTTTACTTCAGTATGTAGACAAGACAAATTTCAGGAGGACGTGCAACTATCTCACGAGTGCAGCAAAGTAATCTTAATATGATGATATTATTCATTTGACTGGTTTTTCACAGTCATTTGTGGTTTCAGATCATATATACTGTTATTTTCTTATGAGACAAGTTCTCATGAGCTTTGCTTGGTTATCTCAGGACCACTCCTTTTGACATTGTATGTTTTCGTTATTTTCAGGCATCTACCAGGACCTGATGACATGTTGGTTCTAGATATTGCGTACATGATCTACATGAAGTTTGCAGAATATCCAAATGCTCTTCAAATTGCACTATTTCTTGATAACATGCAGGTCTGGGTTCTAACCTTCCTATAGAACTTTAGTATTCTCTATCTGCGTCATGAGGGAAGCTCGGAAAATATTTCCTTTTGTATAGTTCTTATACGATGTATTTTCTGTTTTGCAGTATGTCAAGCAAGTATTTACCTCATGTACTGATCTGCTAAGAAAGAAACAGTTCTGCTACATGATTTCACGTCATGTAAGTTCTTAATAATGATCATCAGCATAGAGATGCAGTACCTGATGACTTTCTTATATTTACTTTTCTCTTGCTATTCCTCCATGCAGGGTAGCACCTTTGAGCTGGACCCTGAGATGGTTGCAGATGACGTTGACAGAGAAGCCCTACAGGATATTGTTAATAACACCAAGTTAAGCGAAGGATACCTGACGCTTGCAAGGGATATTGAGGTCATGGAGGCCAAAACGCCTGAAGACATCTACAAGGTATATCAGGTTTATGGAATATTATGCCTGTTACTGGTTTTGGTTTGCTATTAGATATGTTTTTGTCAGTCTCTTACCTGTCCAATAAAATATTGCAGGCGCACTTGCTTGATGGCAGGGCTAGCTCTGGTGCAAGTGTGGATTCTGCTAGACAAAATCTGGCAGCTACATTTGTGAATGCATTTGTAAATGCTGGTTTCGGCCAGGTATGGTTACAGAATCTTCGAATTTGCAAAATGAGATGAAATTAGTAAACTCAGCTGTCATTTTGATATATTTGCTTATTGCAGGACAAATTAATGACGGTACCATCAGACTCAACCAGCGGATCGGCTGGGAATTGGCTCTTCAAAAATAAAGAACATGGGAAGACCAGTGCAGCTGCTAGTCTGGTATGTTCTTCTTACTTGATAGATTTCCTGGCTGTGTTATATCTTGGAAGTAAAAATTGTAACTGGACCTAGTTGTTTCCTAATGCTAGGGTATGATTCTATTATGGGATGTGGACTCCGGGCTTGCTCAACTCGACAAATATTTTCATAGTAATGATAATCCCATCATTGCTGGAGCTCTGCTGGGAGTTGGGATTGTTAATTGCGGCATTAAGAATGATTGCGATCCTGTCAGTTGATTTCTTCTTCAATTCTATTGGACCCTTTGTTCTCATTATTTTCTGCCATAGATTCTTCTCACTCAGCTTTCTTTCTCAGGCATTAGCCCTTCTTGGAGAATATATAGACAAAGAGGATTCATCTGTCCGAATTGGTGCTATTATGGGTCTCGGAATTGCATATGCCGGATCCCAAAATGATCAGGTGAAGACATGTTATCTTCTTACCTATAGTGCTGTGTTAAATGTTTCACCAGACAATAACATGCTCACTGTTTGGACAGATAAGAAGCAGTTTGTCTCCAATTCTGAATGATGCAAAAGCGCCTCTCGATGTGATTGCATTTGCTGCACTTTGTTTGGGGATGATTTATGTTGGTTCATGCAATGAAGAGGTTGCACAGTCTATTATATTTGCTTTGATGGATCGGAGCGAGGCAGAATTGGGTGACCCCCTCACTCGTTTCTTACCTCTTGGACTTGGACTTTTGTACCTTGGCAAACAGGTAGAGAGAAAGTCCCACTTGATTAATTTCTTGTTTGTGTACTTAATCGTTTTTTCCCTCACTTGACTGTGTTAAGTTGTTCCAATATCGAGCAGGAAAGTGTGGAGGCTACTGCGGAAGTTTCAAAGACGTTCAATGAGAAAATCAGAAAGTATTGTGATATGACACTTCTTTCTTGTGCGTATGCTGGAACTGGGAATGTCCTTAAGGTATCTGATTAAGTGTGCTGGTGGTTGAACTACATAATTCATTGCTTACTAGTGTAGTTGCTGACTCTTCGATTGCGCAGGTCCAGGACCTTCTGGCTCAGTGTGGAGAGCACCTGGAGAAAGGTGATATCCACCAGGGTCCAGCTGTGATTGGATTAGCGATGGTTGCTATGTCTGAAGAATTGGGTCTTGATATGGGGATCCGTTCTCTGGAGCGTGTGCTACAGTATGGAGAACAGAACGTTCGACGGGCAGTGCCTTTGGCCCTTGGACTCCTATGTATATCGAACCCAAAGGTGAACATTCATTTTGTAAACCTAGTTTTGCATTTTAAGCTTAAGAATACTGCCCTTACTCCTCTAATCTTTCCTGTAATTCCAGGTGAATGTTATGGACACCTTGAGCCGGCTTAGCCATGACACAGATTCGGAAGTGGCCATGGTGAGTTATCTTTTCGCCACTCACGGTTTAGGTAGTAGTTATTTCATTGAGTTAACTGTTGTTTCATCTTACTCCTACAGGCAGCAATTATTTCACTTGGTTTGATAGGCGCTGGAACTAACAATGCAAGGATAGCTGGCATGCTTAGAAATCTCTCCAGCTACTATTACAAAGATGCCAGCCTTCTCTTCTGCGTAATGTGTTATTTCTTATTTCGGTGCAAGAAACACAGTTTCTATTGATAGGCTTGTTCTCATCTTTTCAATTCATAATGCAGGTGCGTATTGCACAAGGGTTTGTGCATATGGGAAAGGGTCTCTTAACTCTCAGCCCCTTCCACTCCGAACGCTTCTTGCTATCGCCGTAAGTTGTAACATATATTTTGATGCTTGGCTTTTGAAGGTTCATCCCGTGAACCCTAAACCTGTGTGGTGTATTTTGTATTCAGAACCGCACTTGCTGGTATAGTGACATTGTTGCATGCATGTCTTGACATGAAATCCATCATACTGGGGAAATACCACTATGTGCTCTACTTCCTCGTTTTGGCGATGCAGGTGAGTGCAACGTTCTGTTTTGTGTGTTTTCTTTTTAGTAATGGACGAAGCAACTAAGTCACAATGTGGTTTGAATGTGTAGCCAAGGATGATGCTGACGGTGGACGAGGACCTGAAGCCCATCTCAGTACCAGTGCGAGTAGGACAAGCGGTTGATGTGGTGGGACAGGCGGGTAGACCCAAAACAATCACTGGGTTCCAAACGCACTCAACACCTGTTCTCCTTGCTGCCGGGGAAAGAGCTGAGCTCGCAACCGACAAGTATGTTGTCCCGTTAAACCCACCTTGTGCTACATTACATTTTCCTACTCAATAACAAAAATTTGTTTACGTTTATCTTAAAAAAAAATCTGTGGTTTGGTTCACAGGTACATTCCGTTGTCGCCCATACTAGAAGGGTTCGTCATATTGAAAGAAAATCCAGACTATAGAGAGGAGTGAGTTGGAGCAGTTGAAGAAAGAGAGCCTTTGAATACACTTTGGCTATGGTTTTATGTACCCTTTTTCTTAGTTTCTTCGCTTCTGTTCCCAGGAAATTGTTTTAAGAAAGAAAAAATTTCCCTTGATTGCACTGTGTAGGAATTTTTGGTGTACTTTGTCATTCTAAAGTTGGATAATCTTCCAAGTTCCAACTCTATGAATCCAATCCTTTTGACTTCCACCTCTAAAACAACTCGTTCTACTTCAATGTCTAAACTTCAATTTCATGCTTTGTTTGTACTCAAACTTCAAATTTTGAGGATTTTGCAAGAACTATGTAATATAAAAATGTAAGAGAGTTTTGATCAAGCCGGCTACATTTACATGTATGGCGTGCACGACTCACTCGTTTATCCTCTC